AAACCCAAATAGCAAAGGCAATTGAATGGAAATGAATGTGAAATCACACTCGAGGAAGAGAGATCCCAAATTCATATGTACAGTGATGTGGTCTGAGTTGTCAGTGACAACTAATCAGGGAAAGGGTCTTGGAGACATGGTGAAAATGTCCCACTAAGTTATAAAAAGATTCATTAGGAAAAACACTAGGAATTTTCAAGGGTGTAACGTCACTAGAGAAATCTAAGATGTAAATTTTGGTCATGGCCCTTACAAAAAAGAAATTGAACAAGGGAAAGGGTGTAGCTGATTGCCATTCCAGTACACTTTTGCTTCTTCTTTTTTTTTAAAAAAAAGTTGATTTATAGAGAGAGATGGTTGGATGGCTGTCCACTACACCAGTGGTCCCCAACCCCCGGTCCGCGGACCGGTGCCGGGCCGTGGAGTACCTGGCACCGGGCCGCGCAGCGGCCGGGGGACATGAACGCTGCAGCGCAAAGGCTCCTGGGCCGTGCGCAAAAGCTCCTGGGCCGTGCGCAAAAGCTCCTGGGCCGTGCGCAAAGGCTCCAGGGAAGAGAGCCCCGCGCAGGTACGCACGTGTGGCCCAAAGCCCCCACCCCTGCGCGCACTCAGCGGGCCACGGTAAAATTATCAAAGGCTGATTGGTCCGCGGCGATAAAAAGGTTGGGGACCACTGCACTACACTATCATTTTCCTATTTGCTCCTAAGAAATATTCCATGGCAATCTATTTTTTCCTGCTGTGTCCTCATGATGTTGTCTCTACCTTGTTCATGAGTGAAACAAACGTAAGTGGCCCTCAGACCAGGGATGGGTTTATCACTAACGGTTCGCTCGTGGGCACGCATGCAACGCTTCTGCACATGCGCAGAAGCATTCGGGTGGGTGGGCGGAGCCTCCTGCCACCGCCACTACCGGTTCGCCCAACCCGGGCTGAACCAGTAGCAACCCACCATTGCCTCAGACAGATCTGTGTCAAGGCAATATTTTGCCCCTTATTCTGACATCATCCAAGGACAGCCTCAAATTTGCACAATCTTTTAGGCTTTCTCACTGAACACTTTGTAGGATGATAGATGATAGCAATAACTAGGGGAAAAAAGATAATACAGGTAGTCCTTGACTTAGGACTACAATTGAGTCCAAAATTTATGTTGCTAAGTGAGAAATTTGTTAAGTGAGCGTAACAAATTTTATGACTTTTCTTGCCACATTTGTTAAGTGAATCACTGCAGTTAAATTAAATTAGTAGCACAATTGTTAAGTGGATCTGGTTTCCCCCTTGACTTTGCTTGTCAAAAGGTTGCAAAAGATGATCACATGAACCCGGGACACTGCAACTGTCATAAATATGAGCAAGTTGTCAAGCATCTTGTAAATAAATCAAGTAAACCACGTGACCATGGGGATGCTGCAGTGGTCATAAGTGTGAAAAATGGTCATAAGTCATTTTTTTCAGTGGTGTTGTAATTTCAAACTGTCACTAAATAACTTATCTGTAGAGCTACCTTACTCTACAGGTAAGTCAAGGACTACCTCTAGAGGCAGGAAGGATCGACAATAGGGGCAGCTGACTTCACGCTGATAGACAAATAGTCCTCGACTCAGCACAACAACTGAGCCCAAAATTTCCATTGCTAAGCAAGGCAGTTAAGTGAGTTTTGGCCCATTTTATGAACTTTTTTAAAAGCCACGATTGTTAAGTGAATCACTATATTTATTAAGGGAATCGTGCTTCATTAATTGAATTTGGTTTCCCTGCTGATTTTGCTCGTTGGAAGCCAACTAGGAAAGTTACAATAGTGATCATATGACCCTGGAATAGTGCAATTGTCATAAATACATGCCAGTTGCCAAGCACCCAAATTTTGATCATGTGACCATGGGGATACTGCAATAGTCATGTGAAAATTGGTCATAAGTCGGTTTTTTTTAGTGTCACTGTAACTTTGAATTGTCACTAAATAAATGGTTATTTATTTTATATAGGGTATGACATCTACAGAGGTCATACAATTACTGATATACAGCACTAATAAAACACTATATATATATGTGTGTGTGTGTGTGTGTGTGTGTGTGTGTGTGTGTGTGTATGTGTAGATCTTTGGTTATTCGGGTTTTCTTCCGCGTCAAATTGGAAGTGTCTTGGCGACGTTTCGACGAAGTCTCATTCGTCATCTTCAGGCTGGTGTTTTCGGCTTCATGCTCCTAGAAGCATGAATAACCAAAGACTTACATACTAACACCCGCGAAAACCTCAGAAAACATATAGATAGATAGATAGATAGATAGATAGATAGATAGATAGATAGATAGAGAGAGAGAGAGATAGATAGATAGATAGATAGATAGATAGATAGATAGATAGATAGATAGATATAAAAAGGCCGAAATAGTGCTATCCCAGTCTCCCATAAGTCACAGAAGAAACAACATAAAATGTCTGACAGGTCTGAAAGTGATGAATAGAGATTTCATCCCACCATGGCCATTTTAACATCTTTCAACATAGGAAAAAACCCTGATTGCAAAAATATCGCACATTTATACCTATGAATCAAAAGAAATAAATAGATAGATACAGTATATATATAAGTTTTCTTCTCTTATCGTAGGCCCTTTATGTGTATTTCTCAAATATAAATTTAAGCTGAGGCTCAGCAAATATACATATACGTAGTTGCTGATACTCAACTAAAACTTGTATTTGTGCTGTATGTATAAATAAATATGGACGGAACAATATACAAGACAAAATATTAAATTAAAATAAAACTGTGATAAAATCACCATAAAATCATCCCAGAGTCACAATAGGATAGAAGCTATAATTTGATATCTAATTGCTTCTGGTGTGGCCACAAATGAATAAATAATTGTAAATTGAGAATTACCTGTAGTTTTCTTCTGAATCAAGGTTGCATGGAGAATGCAAGAGAAGTGAAGGAAAAAGCCCATCATTTCTTGTTTTAACCTGCCAAATGATTTCCCCCACCCCCAATAAATCATGGTTGTACAAACTAAGTCTTAGGAGGATGAGTGAATTGCATTTTTGACATCTAAAATCTGAGATTTACATACTGTAGGGTTTACTGTATCGCACTTACTACATGGTAAGTGAAAATTTATGAACAGCAGAATTTGGAGGTGCAATATGACATTCACCCTCTTAAGATGGAGGACAGCAGCCTCTGAAACAGATGTGCTTTCAATCAGTCATGATTTAAAAGATATAACAAATTTCCCAGTGAACCAGACAAGAATTATATACAAACAAGCAGCCATGATGCTGGGCACACAGAAAAGATTACTCAAAGGAGAGAGGGACCCTCCAGGGAAAAACAAAACTGTGCCAAATTACAAATTGCCATCTCTGAAGATGTTATGCAAACAATACGAGATTCAAATAGAATGCAGATAAAAGAGAAAATTACCCACCGGGGACTCGGATGGTGTAAATACCATCCTCCGTTGTTGGCAGATCTGGAAAAATAGGATTCTGGCAGCCTGTGTTCCAAAAATTTTATTGATAAGCATTGTTGGTCACAGGTTTGTGGTGCGAAAATTTGAGGTGACATGCAGTCAACAATTGCTAGAGCAGCTTGCTTAGATTAATAACTGGTGACTCCTGAAATAAGCAAGAATGAATTTGTATGCAGCAAAGGACTGATCTAATGTGGGGTCACGAGTCAGTTATGAAGCTGCGGACTTATTTTCGCTGGTCCTCCAATTATAGAACAGGGTGTATACCAGTCAGTCCTGGGATTGAGAACTGAAATTAATTTAACCTGGTTCATGCCCAATGCTGAAAGACAATTTGGAAGAGCACCTAGAATGGAACAGCAACAGAAGTAATGAAAAGGCAGGTCAGTTTAGGTCAGTATTTTGTTAAATTCAGCTGATTTAGCATAGAATCCTGGGCAGAGTTTCAATTTATTCCGAGATCTTATTCTAAGATTCAATTTATTCCGAGGAGACTTACATGTCAGTTTTTAGGTGTAATTCATATTTCATTACTCTCTCGTCACCACATAAAAATTGAGAGAGTGGAAGTGAGAATGGAGATCTAACCTTAACCCTTTTTGGCCTTCATGGCAGTCTTTCTTGACCAGATGTCCTCTGACACAGGTAGCCCTCGACTTAACAACTGCAATTGAAAGCAGAATTTCTGTTGTTAAGGCATTTGCTAAGTGAATTGTGAGCAATTTTGCTACCTTTTTTGTCACAGTTGTTAAGTGAATCACCACAGTTGTTAAGTGCATCATGCAGTCATGAAATAAATCCAGCTTCCCCCATTGACTTTGCTTGCTGGAAGCCAGCTGAGAAGGTTCACAAAAGGCAATCCCATGACTCCAGAACATTGCAATCGTTGTAAATGCATGGCGGTTGCCAACCACCCAAATTTGGATCATGTGACCATGGGGATGCTCTGTCAATTGTAGGTGCAAGGACCAGCTACAAGTCACTTTTCTCAGGGCCATTGTAACTTTGAAAGGTCACTAAATGAGTGTGAGTCAAAGACTACCTTTGACTCAGGTAAGGTTGACTCAGTTTTCCATCCTTCCGAGTGGGTAAAATGAGAACCCAGATTGTTGGGGGCAATATGGTGATTCTGTAAATTGCTTAGAGTGGGCTGTAAAGCACTGTGAAGCAATATATAAGTCTAAGTGCTATTACTATTGCTACCTGTATGTGGAATAGTTTCTAACGTTCACCAAATCCTTGGGTCCTGCTAATAACTCTTTTGGGTAGAAGTGGGACAACAATTGCCCCAAAGTGATGCCCTTCTGATAGGCTGGAACTACAATTCCCAAAATTCTGTCATGCTGGCTGAAATTCTGGGAATTGCTGTTTTGGGATTACCTGATTTTGATGGAAGACGCAATGCTCTGGTTTAGATTGCATTTTGATCACTCTTTTGAGACTAATAACATCTGCAAAAACAACCTGGTCAAAATAGAGCCAATTTTTCAATTTCCACTATAAATCGTTCCATAGACATCCATCGTCCTAAGGAAAGAAATATGAAGGGAAAAAATGTCCAAGAGCACACCAGGGAATAAAAGAGACTGAAGTCTAAGTGAGCTGTGGAATTAAAAACACAATCACGGATATAAAGCAAAGCAGAAAGGAGAAGGAGAAGAAAAATTCCCCCAAGATTGTATGTGCATCGAAGAACTGATATAATTTAAAAAGACAAAAACAAGCTGGAAAACTCTTTTGATGCTCCACTGTTACCGTAACCTAGATTTTAGCTTCTTAGCAACAAAATAAAATATGCATGTTTTGAAAAGAGAGGAAAAAAGAATTTTTTGTTTGGGAGGAATTGAAGACTGAGGGTTAGGATGACCCCGCACAAAAGGCTCAGAAGCCAATGAAAAATAGGAACGGCCCAACAAAACTTCATGATCTCTAATGTTGATCTGCCTTTCAGTTACCACTGTTATGTAGTTAGTGAGTTACTAACTGCCATGGGGACATGGCAAACATCTCAGAAAGGACCCTCCCTATTTTCTTGGACAGTAAAGGTGAGGGGGAGAGATGTACTTTCAGATTTGCAAGATTCTGTTATTGTAATCTTAGAACTAGTACCTTTAGATGTGCTTCTAGACTACCTCACAAGGTTGACACATCTACAGGCATGCTGCCCTTGGACTGGAAGTGTGGCCCTCCATAGCCATGTTGACCAGTGGTGGGATTCAGCCAGTTTGTGCTGGTTCTGGCGAACTGGTACTTAAATTGATGACGGGCCCCGCCACGCCCATCCCCTTCCAGGAGTCCCCACATGCCCCATTTTGACTCCCAGGTAAGTGCAGGGAGGCCTCCTAGGCCCAAAATGGGGCACAGGGGAGGGTGGCGCATCTCCCCTCCATGGCCCATTTTTGCTCCTAGGGGGGTGCAGGAGGCCAAGTGCTGCCTATCACACCCCCTGGCCATGCCCACCATGGCCATGCCCATCCAGCCAGTCATTAGGGCAGAGAACTGGTTGTTAAATTATTTGAATCCCACAACTGATGTTGACTTAAACTACAGGAAAGGATGCAGACTGGATGTTTTAAACAAGAATTTTTTATCTGACATGGTACAGGGTCTCCTGCTTGAGCAGGGGGTTGGACTAGAAGACCTCTCAAGGTTCCTTCCAACTCTATTATTCTGTTATTCTGACTGGCTTCCTTGGAAGGATCTATTCCTGTAATGCTTGCCAAGCCTTATACTGACAGTCTTTACCACAGTCACTTAGCAACCATTCAAAATTATGATCGATTTTCCCAGAGCTACTTACAACTCGGATTTGAAGTTCCAATGACAGCCCTTCCTGTGGTCATGTGATGGCATTTTGAGGACTTGGCAACCTACATTTTTCAGCTGTTTGCAGCACCCCGTGGTCATGTGACCACAATTTACAATGTTTTTTGGTGAAAACTGATGCTTACTTCCGATTTCTGGTAAAAAAAACCAAAAACCATTGCAGTAGCCCGTTCCTTGGGTTCACTTTATGACCGTTACATTTGTTTAACCACCACAAAAAAGGATCATAAAACCAAGTGTGGTCATGTGGTGACCCACTTAACATCCATCAAAAGTACGGCCATAATTCTGGCCTCCAGTACAGTTGTATGTCAAGGACTATCTGTGCAGATTCCTTATAAATGCCAATTGGGCAATCTTTTGGGGAAAAACATGCCTTTTCTTAATGGCATATTAAAGGTGTTCATTAAAAAATCCAATTCATTTCATTTCTACTTGTAAACTGTTTTTGGACTTTGTGCTTGAGGTGAAAAAAAATTAAATTTTGATTTTAGGTTGTGCTGATTAAATAGTTTGTTATAGAAATATCTAGCATATATTGGTATGTAAAAGTAAAAAGTTGAGATTGTATTTTATTACCTCATGCTGCTCTAAAGAAAGTCAGAACATTATTTTCATTTTTCTTTGTATCTATTTTATATTTTAATAAACTGAGAGAGGGGGGGAGAGAGGGAGAGTAGGGAGCAGAGGTGGTATTCAGCAGGTTCTGACCAGTTCTGGAGAACCAATATTGGAAATTTTGAGTAATTCGGAGAACCGGTAAATACCACCTCTGACTGGCCTCCATCTACTCTCTGCCTCCCGAGTCCCAACTGATCGGGAGGAAATGGGGATTTTGCAGTAACCTTCCTCTGGAGTGGGGAGGGAAATGGAGATTTTGCAGTATCCTTCCTCTGCTACTCCCACCAAGCCACGCCCACAGAACCGGTAGTAAAAAAAGTTGAATCCCACCAGGTAGGTAGGTAGGTAGGTGGGGAGTGGAGATATATATATATATATATATATACAGATAGATACAGATAGATACAGATAGATAGATGGTTGGTAGGTAGGTAGGTAGGTAGGTAGGTAGGTAGGTAGGTAGGTAGGTAGATAGATAGATAGATAGATAGATAGATAGATAGATAGATAGATAGATAGAAAGAGACAGAGACAGAGATAGGTAGATATAGATATTACCCTTTCTCTGAACATATTACATAAGCTCTGGTCTCGTTTTAAAGACATAATGTTCTAGTGGTATATATATATATATATATATATATATATATATATATATATTTCCTTTTCGTAGGTCTTTGTGTGTATTTCTCTTTAGCCAGGTTCTTCCTACGTAAACCAAGATTTTTCTGCAGCCCTAGTTCAGTGAAATCCCAGTCCACTAGTTTCTAGGCTTTTTTTCTCCAGCAGCCAGCAAGCTCCCTGCTGCCCATTAGGAGACTATCACTATTTTCTAGGCTTTATCAGACATTTAAGCAGCATTATGCTGTCTGCTACAAGACTTAAGGGAGACTAAGATAGATCTATTTCGGCCTTATAAGGCCTCATCAGTTAGTCACACCCTCATTTTATGACTCCTCCCTTAACGGTCAAATATTTATTTTGTTCTTTTTTCGTAGGTCTATATGTGCATTACTGTTCTAGAACAGTAATGCACATATAGATCTACGAAAAAAAGAACAATATGTGTGTGTGTGTGTGTGTGTGTGTGTGTGTGTGTATGCTGCCCATTGGGAGCATATATATTTGTTTTCGTAGATTTTCACGGGTAGAGGTATGCAAGTTCTGGTGTATTCGGGTCTTTTCCCGTGTAAGATCGAGAGTATCTTGGCAACGTTTCGACGAGGTCCCACTCGTCATCTTCAGGCTAATGTCTTCGGCTTCGTGCTTGTGTGAGGAAAGCTTTCCTCGCACAAGCACGAAGCCGAAGACACCAGTGGGACCTCGTCGAAACGTCGCCAAGATACTCTCAATCTTACACGGGAAAAGACCCGAATACATCAAAACTTGCATATATGAGAAAGGGCATATCTTGGCCCTCTGGATAGTTTTCTCTTATCAGTTAATCAAATAGCCTCCTTGTCAGTTTATGCCTAGTGAAAGTCTCTGCTTTAACTAGCTAGAAGATCAATTGGATTCTAAAAGTGAATATTGTTGAGATTTCGGTAGCTTTGTCCTTGTTCCCTTGAAGAAATCTTGTTAAAAGATGCCTATCTCACCTTGGTGGAGGGAGACTGCCAGTATTTGACAGTTCTCTTGAGACAATTCTAGTCCTATGCTGGGGAGAAAGTTGTTTTAAACTAGGAAAGAGAGCAAAGTCCTGCTAGTTCTGTCATCTTGGTGCAAATGACAAGTTTTCCCACTGCTAATTTGATAAGGTGTTTTGTGTGGATATTTTTTTTTTACTTCTGGGAAATCTTACTCAGCTTTTATAATGACCTGCGTGCAGGAGATATGTCAATAAGCAAGAACCCTTTGCTGCCCTCACTACTGTGGCAAAAGAAGGATCAGCACTAATGCCACCATATTTCTCTGCTGGTTCAAGGACTGGTGGATAGTTTTATAATGTGGCTGTCAAGAAAAGCCAGCAAATTGACAAATAAAGCTAATAAATGCTTCTGTACTATAAGAAAAGAACAGGCTCAGATTCTAACCGGGGAACAATCCGAAGAAGAGGGATAAATTGTGAGTTTCCCACCATTATGTGCATGTTCATTGCAATCAGAAAAACAACACACTTCATGGTTACAATCCCCTGGAAAACTATAAAAATGCATTCTTTGGAGTCTAAGAACAGACGCATATTTTTTAAAAAATAAACAGTTACCTAACGTTGCCAACTTGAAATGCGTTATGCAGCAATTTTGCCTTCATAACTGTTCTTTTTCATTGTTTAGAGAAGGAAAAACAGATGGAAGAAGTAGTGAAAAAAATAGGGAAGTGCTACACATGGAAACATAGCAACCTCTGCATATCCATTAACATCTATGAATGAGACAGACTAGTTGAAAGCACCAAATTTATTAACTTCTCTTGCTCCATGTAAGCTGTTGGAGCCAAGAAATGGATTGCAGCTAGGGGAACATGAAGTGAACATCGGTGGTCTGAGGTCTGTGAGGAATGGAAGTGCCACAGGTGAGGTCACCTGGCTTTAGTTGAAGATGCTAGGTTGGGAGGAAGCACCATCTGGTGAGAAGCTGGGTCAGCTCAAGCTCCATTTGGGTTTCCAACAGAGGCTATTTTGAAGCTCCTGGACTTCTGTAAGCAGAGTACTTACCTCAAAGGTATTTTTTCAAATGGCAATTGGACTGTTTTTTTTTTCTTTGAGGAAGAACAACAAAACGTTCTGTTTCTCATCCAGTGTTAACATAAATGGCCTCTTTTACCCTCTTTCAAACCAATAGGATAGAATAACAGAGTTGGAAGGAAGTGGTTCTAGTCCACCCCCTGCTTAGGCAGGAAACCCTATACCATTTCAGACAAATGGTTATCCAATCTCTTCTTGAAAACTTCCAGTGTTGGAGCATTCACAATTTCTGGAGGCAACTTGTTCCACTGATGAATTGTTCTGTCAGGAATTTTCTCCTTAGTTCTAGGTTGCTTCTTTCTTTGATTAGTTTTCACCCATTGCTTCTTGAACCTCTCTATCCAAAATGTGGATTTTGCTGTCTTCAAAGGGATGACCTTTGTCTTTCAAATGTAGATGGACTGCTGAATCTTGTCCTGATGGTTTGGTCTCCTATGTTGTGCCCCATTGTGAAGTGGTGGTTTTGCTTCACCAATCTGCACATGGCTCACTACATTGTACTGCATATATCACGTTGCTCAGTTTGTGTCTGGATATTTTATCCTTGGGGTGGACAAGCTTCTCCCTTAGTGTATTCTTGGGTTTGAAATGTACATGTCTGTTGTGTTGTTTGAAAATTCTCCTGAGCTTTTCAGATATTCCCGCTTTTCAGATCTCCTCCTCCTCCTCCTCCTCCT